AATTCATGTTCCGGCTTGGTGGGAGCCTAGCCAGTTTGGATGTTCACCTTCCTAGACATGGACGGAGGGGGGAGGACCTTGGACTTTCCACAGGGCAGGGAACCATGACTGCTTTTTGGATTAGAGAGGGAGGGGGAGAGGAGTGGGGGGAGGGGGAGAATGGTGGGGGAGGGGGAGGGAAATGGGAGGCTGGCAGGAGGCGGAAACTTTTTTTTCTTATTCTCAATAAAAAAAACAAAAAAAAACAGAAAAAAGAATATTTTTGTCTCTCTAGTGTTTTCAAAATACAGATAGATAAATTTACTACACATTTATCTCTGATTTCCTTGAGGTAAATGGGATTTAGCTGTCATCTTACTTTGGACCTCTCATTTCTTCTTGTTTTTTTTTTTTTTTTGTGTACACATGTATGTGAATGTGTGTGTGTATTTGTGTAGGTACAGGTACACAGTATGTGTGCTTGTACATAACACATATATAAACATATATGGAGGTAAGATTTCCAACTTATTGTTGCTCAGGAATCTCTAACTTGCATTTGGGGACAAGGTCCTTCGTTTGGTTAAGCTCAGTAATAAGGATGAACTGTCTAGACAGTGACCGCAAAGATTTACAATACTCTGCCTCTTCAACACTGGGTTTACATGTGTGTATTAGCATGTTCTGCTTTTACATGGAGATTATACTGGTTCTCATGTTTGCATGGCAATCATTTTATCCACATATCTATCTCAAAATTACTCAATGCTTTACTTTCATTTAGATGTTAATAGAACTAATAACAATGCTTCATTTCATTTATCACACACATACAACCTGTGACTAGCACTATTTTGTGACTTTCTGTAATCATTCTTAACCACAACTATGACTTGAACTTACTGGAAATTAAATTCAACTGTATAACTGCAGTCGGGGGTAAAGACAGATATGAGGGATATGAAATTTTAAAAGCAGAAGCCAACTCTTTTGAGGACTTTGTAGGGGAGTAAAATCATGAAGCTCAATAGCATATCTGTATGTATTGTGCTGTGTAAGGATGGCAGCATGTAGAAATAGCAGCCTGTGAATTAGAATAGTGGTAGAGTTAAAAATAATAATAAGGGCAAACCAAATTCAAGTTAAATACCCCAAAAGAAAGAATGAAGAGCATTCACTGAGCAAATGAAGACAATGTACATAAATTTTACATAAAAAGAATGGCATATATTCCTTAAGCAAGGGATTATACACTTATTTGTTCACTTGTGGTGTAGTGGAAAAATGTAATTAATTTCATATGGAATGGATTTCATTATTGTGCAATAAATGCCAAAATAAATGATGAGAGTAAGATGAAGTGAGCCTTGAAAAAAAAAAAAAACGAAAACACTGGGAATATTTCCAATCAGCTATTGTATAGACAATTAACAAGAAAAACATGCAAGGCAAGCACTTAAAATTAGTAAAATAATTATTGACTATTCTTTGTTAATCTTGTATCTGATGTGGGATACGCCTCTGTATGCTGTGACTATGTTTTATTACCATTGGTTAATAAAGAAGCTTCCTCGATCTATGCCAGAGCAGAGTATATCTACACAGAAAATCCAAACAGAGATAGAGGGAGAAAGAAGGCAAAGTCAGAGATGCTGGGAAGAGCATCCAGGGAAGCAAGGTGTGAGGTCACAAGCCACTAGACTTGTGGTAAAATGTAGAATAATAAAAGTTGGTTAATTTGAGTTGTAAGAGCTAGTTAATAACAATCCTGAGATAATAGGCCAAACATTATTTAATTAATACTAATCCTCAGAGTGGTAATTCTGGAATTGACTGTCAAGAGACTAACTGCCAGTAACATGCATTGTTGCTACACCAAAAGTTTAGAAATTTACTTCTATGTTATATAATCATACATAGTTTATAATATACACAAGGAAGTTTTGAAACTATGAACGTTTATTAATATAGATGTGTATTTATAATCTTTTAAACCATATAAACTAAAGGCAATTTTAGCAAGCATGTACTGACCCATGCTGGCGATGATGCTGTGGACAGGCAACCTTGAAGGACCATGATAAAATGACTTTGATACATTGCTCTTTCTCTGTTGGTCTTGATTCTTAAATGCTGAATTTTCTTCTTTGGTAATATTAATATAAAAACATATATCTGAAGCATTCATAATGTATCGCGGACCTGGATTCAGCAAAATGTTTTTATTATCCTCCCTCCTAACACCAATCAAGCAGACACCAAACCTTAATTTAAAAGAAGAATATAAGAGTTTAAGAATTACATTTGGGGAAAAAATTATCTTTATGTTGTTTTAACTGCTTACATTTATAAGAAAATTAACCAAATAAAATCTATTAGAACACAGTAACAACATTGAATAACAGAACTAAGAGGCAGGAGAGGATTCTACCATTTGATAATCTTATTTTTAATAAACAAAATCAATTCAATTTGTCATAAGAATTATACTATATATATACATTTAAATGTCAAAATATAAAGGAGATTATAAATATTAGAATGCTGGTCATATAATAAAGGTAATTATGTTTTATATTTTTAGGATAACTACTAATGTCAAAATAATGAATAATATTTCTTACCTTTTTCAAAATATTTACAATCTATTGGAATAAGGGAACTTTTATGAAATGTCATGTGAAAAGAAAGTGATGTCTCTTAATCATCCTTACTATCATTTCTACAAACTCTCATATATTCAGCTTTAGAAAGAAATATTTTAAAAAGTTGACAATGGTTGTACATGTTCAGGAGAAAAAAATTAAACATGTTGAAAGAAATATATATTTCTTATTTCTCTTTGGTGATGTTCAAACTTTCAAAATTCATCTTAAAAACCTCATAGAGTGAGTGAGTCAAATTGGAAATATATGTATTAGCCAAATATGTATCAGTAAAGTCATTGAGAATTAAAATGAGTACACCATATATTAGTTAAAGGAATATATTACTACAAAGTGGCCAAATAAATTACATTTAATTACTTTAATATAGATAATTTTTGATATACTTTGGTATTCCTTAACAATTTAATTTTGTCCATAAAGGAGAGGAAAAACAAATCATCCTGACTAAGCTAGAAAGTGTATATAGTATCATTTATTCAACATTCCTTTTGGGCAATGGAAAGGTTATAATCAAATTATTATTTATTTACTTTTGGATAATTGTGTGTTGTTTCAGAAGCAAAAGTTGAAAATCAGTAACCATGATTAGGCTTGTGCACATAGTGATATTGAGGGCAGCCTAAACTACATGAGACCAAGAATCAAAAGGTCAAAGGGGGGAAATGTGATTTTTTCTTTCTTATTTTGTTCTTCTTCTGTTTCTGTTACTGTAAATACACACAAACACATATATATAATTATATATATATATAACTAAATACATATTATATATTAAATATATATATACACACACAACATTTTAAATTCCACTTATGTAAAAAGATTTAATGTTTTATAGTTGTTAATTCTTAATTGCCCAGGATGTTATGTGGGTCACAGATGTAGTAGAGTAGACATCCCTTAGATATTTTTCTCTTGGTAAACTTGACTTGTAGATACTAAATGTTCATAATTTAAATGTAACAAAATTGATGCTAAAAAGTAAAAATGCTAGAAACTCATGAGCACCAATATGGGTTGATCTTTGGAAAATAGTTTATATATGATCTGATTGACTGATGAGTTAATTCTCCACTGAAAACAGAAGCATACTTTTTGTGTGCATGGAAAGATGCATAGGTAAAACTCTTCCCTTCATATTCAGCAAAAAAAGTACTTTCTTCTAAAATGATGTGATAGACTTCATTTCCAGAGCACCTCCCGTACATCTTCTGCCATTGTTCTGGCGACTGCTGCCCTTCTCTGCAACATAAGCACACACACATACACGAAGAGGAAAAGACAATGAATGTGGGTCAATGATGCCATTGGCTGGAAAGTCAATCTCTAAGGCCGAGAACCAGTCAACACAATTAGAGGAGATATTACATTGGGTTCTGAGTTCAGATTAATGACATCACACTAAATTAAATTTAGTATCACATATAACATGAAAATAATGATTAGTGAGTAGGTAGATAGCAAAATTTTACAAGACTCAATGTCAGAAATATTTATTCTGGCCATGGAACCATGATTAAAAGATTTCATTTGTTTCAGTTTGTGAAAATGCTGCACCCAAGTCCAGTGTGTAGAGCTTGTTTTATTTTCTTTGTCATAAGGCAAAATTTACTTTATGATACACCTTGACTCTTACAGATAGATACTGAATTTGCTTCATGTTTAAATTTTTGTTTTTCATGATATCAGTTTGAGTTTGCAAAAGTATATAATGTTAACTTTTGCCAATTTAATAATCAATACTCCTCTCATGCTATGTATGCCTCAAGAAAAGACAGATATTGATGTAGTATGATTTTAATTGGTCTTAATAATAAAAACCTAGAGTCATATATTAGGGGGTGAAAACTGAAAGATCAGAAAAACAAAGCAGTCAGATCTTTAATCCCAGTACAACGGAGATGAATATGGGAAGGAATATGGCTGGGCAGAGAGTGAAATATAAATCTGGAGGAAACAGTAGCTCAAGGCATTCAGTCTGAGGATTCCTAGAGAGAAACATGATCACTCATTCTGTCTGAGGATTCTGTTGAGATAAGAACAAGTGGTTGACTTTTCTGCTTCTCTGATCTTTTAGCATTTACCCCCATATCTGACTCAGGGTTTTTATGATTAAAACAATTAGAATTACTGTTACATATTTGAGATATACACTTTTAAAAAGGGTCCCAGAAATAGATTTGATATTTATAACCCTTTAGTGCATGAATTCATAGGCTAGTATTTGTATGTAAGGCCTTTGGGTATGATAGGCAATAACAGTAAACACCAGAGTGAATTAGATCCATCATCAGTTCTGAAGAGCTAGCCTGTTCATTCTACTGGACAAGAATACAGCCCAGAGTAAGAAATCTGCAATTCAGAAGCTGTAGTTCAGAACTGACAAGTCAAAACCTAAATTTTAGACTTCTGAACACCTGAAATGTGAAAAATAAAGTTTTCTTGTATATAGACCACTCACTCTTTGACAATTTGTAATAACAATTAAAAGTAGAATAAGATGGTATACAAGAGGGATGCTAATGGTGCTTAAATAAAGAAGATATATACATTAAGAATAAAACTTGTGGTTTCTTTAGCTCTGTAGGCCCATATTTCTGTATAACACAAAAGCCATAGGCCCAGTCTGAGCTGACCACAGTAGCTCTGCAGACAAGCTGTCTCTGCCTAACAACAGCAAGGATGTACTTGTTAGTAATGTAGATCTGAGGAGAGGTGTTGACTGAAACTGGTCAGGATGTTTGGTGCTTCCTTCCTTTGTAATTTGAAGGATGTCTTATAGAGATGCTAATTCAGGGCCTACCTGACTGCTAGATATGGATGTGACCAGAGCCCATGCACATGGTTACCTAGGAGATAGCCTAATGTGTTCCCGCTCTATTCATGTGAGGATATATAAGCTGTTTGGAGAATAAATGAGAGATCTTTTTAGAAAGAGATCTTGCCCGTGAAAGATGACAGTGTAAGTTGTGTCTGATTATTCCTCGCGACTCCATTCCAACCGAGTTAAGGAATCTGTGTTGGACCCACAAGGGCTCCGACATAGCTCTAAAATGTTCTACCTAATTCTGAGGCTTTGGAAATTCAATTCATACAAAAATCATAAAAAAATACCCATAGCTGATTAAAAACCTTCTGTTTCATGCTACTATTGCACATTTGAACTGTGCTGTAGACAGACTGAAATCTCTCTGAACCCGTGTGTGAAATAATTCTTTTTATTCTTTTAAGTTGTTTCTCTCAGATATTTTGTCATAGAAACAATGAAAGTAAATATATTAAGAATGATGATTCCTTGTGGAGAAAAAAATTCTTTTTGGCAAACCAAATTATCCATGGACCAAAGAACAATTTGGCAAAATAGTATTTGGCAAACATCAAAGCCTACTGAAGGTCCAGCAATATCAGAGAACAGGCTGGCAATTCATCATGGCTTATTTGAGATACAAAATGATCTCAGTGTCAGAGTTGTTATGCAAATGTACTAAAATCCCTTCAAGAGAATCAAAAACCTAATTCAGAAGCTGAAATGGGAACATAATGTGGTACTGAGGAAGAGAGCAAAAATGATGGGACTCAGCCCAGGCCAGATTAAGAAAAATCCTTCATGAAGCGTTTCTCATCTTGCTACTTCATAACCTTACTTCCTCTGTCAGGAAGCATCATATCATGAGGAGCCCTTATCTTCATGACTTCTTTAATAGCTTGTAAAAAGTAACCAAGAACATTTACTTTTCAATTATTGTAAAGATGTAGACTTTTCTTCATGAAACTTGAGCCTTTTATTTGAAAAAAATATGTGGAAATTTCATTAGATATTAATAGCAATAAAAAGTCTCACAGAGCAGAGTGTGAGTACAAAGAAGGTTTTAGATTGAATGCTATAATAATTAACAAAATGGAGGGAGTAGTTACGGACTACTAAGAATAAACAGGAGTAGAAAGCTTTGAGGAGAAAAACGAAGGGAAAAGGAGCCTACGTTTTCAATGGGTAATTTCAGTGTCTGTAGGATGACCCAAGAACTCCAATACTGAAAGTCCAAGGATTCACAAAAATATAAATGAAGAAGTTTGTCTGTAGCTTTCCTGAAGAAACCCATGTATGACAGCAAGAGCAACGGGTCCTTCCCCTTACCATAGGAATGCCCAATATGGCTAAACAAAAGCAAAGAACTCAATTATTCTGAGTTGAGGAAGAAAGATGTGTCGGAGACAGATGACAAAGGAGGGTGCTCATGTAGAAAACTTAACAATCAATACATGTGACATTTGCTTGAAATGACTAGGCAGCCACTGGGGATTTTATATACATGCAAAAGTATGCACTTAAATTTTTTTATTCGTATTTCTAAATTTATTTTATTATTTTTTTAATTAAAAATTTCTGCCTCCTCCCCACCTCCCTTTTCCCTCTCCCTATCCCCACTCCCCACACCCCACTCCCCTCCTTCTCCCTCTCCCTCTCCAGTCCAAAGAGCAGTCAGGGTTTCCTGCCCTGTGTGAAGTCCAAGATCCTCCCCACTCCATCCAGGTCTAGGAAGGTGAGCATCTAAACCGCCTAGGCTCCCACAAAGCCAGTATATGCAGTAGGGTCAAAACTCAGTGCCACTGTCCTTGGCTTCTCAGCAGCCCTTATTGTCTACCATATTCAGAGAGTCCAGTTTTATCCCATGCTCATTCAGTCCCAGTCCAGCTGGCCTTGGTGAGCTCTCAATAGATCAGTCCCACTGTCTCAGTGGGTGGGTGCCCCCCTCCCGGTCTTGACTTCTTTGCTCATGTTCTCCCTCCTTCTGTTCCTCATTTGGACCTTGGGAGCTCAGTCCGGTGCTCCAGTGTGGGTCTAAAAGTTCTTCTTATAATTGTGCTAAGAAGCTTGATGAAGAGCAAAGACAAAAGTAGCTGTTTGTTGGGCCCAACTAGTAATGATGTGATGGAGAAGGGTCATCTGTCTATTTGTTACTTACATTGGTTAATAAAGAAACTGCCTTGGCTTTTTGATAGGGCAGGATTTAGATAGGTGGAGTAGACCAAACGGAATGCGAGGAAGAAGGGAAGTGAATCAGTCGCCATGATTCTTCGACCTGAGACAGATGTAGGCTAGAATCTTTCCCAGTAAGCCACCACCTTGTGATGCTACACAGAATCTTAGAAATGGGTTAGAACAATATGTAAGAGCTAGCCAGTACGAGGCTACGGATAACAAGCCAGGCAGTGTTTAAAAGAATACAATTCGTGTGTTGTTATTTCGGGTATAAAGCTAGTCTTGTGGGAGTAGGACGAAACAAAAATCAGGCCTGCTCCCCTCATCACTACAATGATGGTTACCACCCATGTTTCCCTTGAGTTAGTCAACTGGTTTGTCCTTTTCCCCATCAATGCTTAAATTTTTAAAGGATTCCTAACTCATCTTTGTCTCTAGTGTTGGCCCTACACATTCTCTGTACTGTTATAAAGATGAAGGAAAATATGAAGTTTCACAATCCATGGGAATGATAATTGAGAATATGGACATGTGATTTACCATTATTTGGTCATTATACACAGTATACACAATTGCATTGCAATTTGCACCCTATTAGATGAGTACAAACCTTGTATATCAATTTTAAAAATTAAATTAAAGCCCTAAATTATTTTTGTAATTGTCTTATGAATTGCATTGAATGTATAAATAGATTTTTTGCATGATGATAGTTTCCACAATATCATTTTTAGCAAACCATGGGCATGGAATGTCTTTCCATTTATTAGTGTCTTTCTCTACATTTTTTCACAGATGCTTAAAATTTTCATTGTACAAGTCTTTTGCCTTTTTTGTTAGGTTTATTCATATTTTACTTCTTTGGGAATATTTTGAATAAAACTATATCAATGATCTATTTCTTGATATGTTTTCTCCCCATTTTTTAAGGGAAAGTTTATTTACAATATCCACTGACACTAAACAATTTTTTAGTAGGAGTCTAAGTTACAGAGAGAATAACCAATTTATCAAGGTACAAGATAGGGATTCAAAGTTGGTGGAAAAGTGACTATCGGATAACAAATACCTTCTTTTTCTTTGTGTTGTTGATAGATAGAAAAGTCAGAAAAGTTACCCCCATGAAATCTAGTAAATATGGCTGCCTAAGTCAGTTCTAAACAAGGATATCACCAATAGTCATATTAACATGGAAGGGCAGAATTGCATAGAGCCTTGACCCTAGACGAAGAACTATCAGAAATTTAGGTGTTTTGAGAGT